GCTATATATGTCAACTGCTGAAACACTTTGCATAAAAAACACATTAACTGATCAAATTGGTCTTGGCCATCTTATCTCAATAAAGCACGAAATGTTCTGTTTTGAGAAAACAGTCTGTATTTAAAACATTTAAACTTTTGCTTAAATATCTTATATTTTGAAAAACAGTGTAAACTGTCTGGTCTGAATTTAGTTTGCACGAAAGTTGTAAACAACGCCATTTACGAAACGAACTTTACGGGCGGATATTCAAAATTGTATGTCATCAGTGCAGGCTCTCATTTCACCTTGAGAGCCTGCTCGCAGGCCAGATTGAAAAGTAATGTGACGTTACATCAACAAAATTTTACTTGTTACCAGCAAAATCTAGTTAATTAGGCCTACGTTACAAATTACTTCAGTTATTTCAGGCCCTGACAGACAAACACCATGTTGATAGTATGTGTCTATATACAGTATGTAAGCATAGTGTAAGAATAATAGAATAGTGTGTTAAAAACCTTGCCAATTATTTCAGATAACTAGATAAGTAAAGTAATAGTCATTTGTAATGAATCTTTTGTATTTGAATTTACTGTGATTAAATTAAAATATGTTTAATTAAAATGCCAGGTAAAATAAACTTGTTTTCAATAAAAGTTGGCTTCCAATGAAGCTGCAGCTTTGAGGCACCATTTCACTTGTGATGTTATACATTTTTATAGTGGACAGTATATAACAAGATGATGAATTTAATTAGATTAGACATAGGTTAGGGGGAATGGGGAAGGGGCTAAAGGGAAAAACTGGGCAATTTCACATATTGTCACCCATTTTTAACGAAGCTCCTTTTGCTATGGTGAAAGGTGTGAGGTGGGTTTATGGCACCTTAAAACCAGATTGCTCATTTTAGGTGGTTTTCATTGTCACCCATTTCTAAGTTCTAACCAAACTCCTTTTGCTCTTGCAAAAGGTGTGAAGGCAAGCAATCTAGTTTTAAGGTGCCAAAAACATGTGCTTGTGTTCAGCTTTTTCAAGGAGCTGCCCTTGTTGGATCATGGTTTACTATTTTTGGTAAATGTGTTTCCTAGGCATGCTGATGAACCAAGGTATACACTGTAGGGCAAAACAGTCTATATATTACTTTATCATATATATGCTGAACATTGGCAGGTACGAAAATTATGTCATTTACGCATTTGTAGTTTGATAGAATAAAATATCTATACTCCCACAAAAATTGGACTATCATCATGACATCGAATAACGTCATGGCAAATGACGTCATCACGTTTTGCGTCATCGATGACGTCATAGATTTTTGACTAACGTGCAAAAAATCCTAGATCCGCCCCTGGCACAGGGCGTATATAAAAAAATTAAGTTAGACAATATTGAATGCAATGCACGTAGTTCACGTGTAATAGCTCTTTTAAATTTTACGTTAAAACAAATCAAACAGGGCAACTTTTTTGCGCCACCCGGTAGTTTGGGAGAGTCGTTGTATACGGACAGCAATCAGTAAAATAATGTTTGCACATGCGGAAGTTTTATTGGAGGACAAGAAATATACAGACAATTTAAAAGCGATCGTTGTGGACGAAGCCCATCTTGTTAATACTAAATGGTGAGTGGGATATAATTTGGTTGTTTCTCAATATTCTTTCCATCATTAAAAATTCTTTGGTTATCTGCAAGACTGTATACATATTACAGACAACATATATTCTGTTTTACGTCCTGTCTAAACGCTGCATTTTACATGCATGTGCCAAGTCTAGAAAAGTTTGTTCAACCCTTTAAGAGTGAATGTCAGTAAAAATCGAACATATGAGATATTTCGCGGCCACGACTGAAAAATCGATTTTGCTCAAATTTTGCCCAGATATACCTTATTATATCGGAAAATGCACCATATATTTTTTTAGGCCAAATGCTTTTTTAACTTTGAGAAAATGCCGTTTTAACACGACCACCCTAAATCGCCATTTTGTCTGGGAAAATATGCGCTGATTTTACCGTCAAATTTCACGACGACAACCGTTTGTAATCGATCTAAAACCCTAAAAATCTTGTTTTCGGTTATTCAAAGGACCGGGTACGTGACTTACAAGAAATCTGAGTTACTTTTAGGAATAGAAATAATCGTAGTTTTGGAGCACACTATCTTACTTCACTTACGATACCATCTTAACAAAACCAATTTTCACTATGGGATAAAGCTCCAAATCGATCATGCTTCTACTAGTTGGCTCTTTAATAAACAAGCTTTCAATTGACGCAAATACTTCTTTGGGCAAATGAATACGCGATAAACGACAGCGCGCTGAAATCGTCCGTTTTTGACGTCTTGCAGTCAAACGCTGTTAATTTACATACCGTCGAAGTAAACAATTTAATCAAGTATTTTAAGTATTTTACCTTTTGATAAGAAGATATATTCTTGAATGGAGACTTTTTGCCTTGCTAAGTTTAAAATTGGTCCAGAAATCCCGATATATTTGTGAAATGTCATCATATACAGGTATTTTGAGATATAATGTTGTCAGTTGCATGATAACTTCAGATCACTGTTCAATATTGTCTACTTTTAATAGCGCTAACATACAAAGCGATGAGCTGTTTAGGGATTATATTTGTTACTAAATTTACCAAAATAATTACATACCGTCGAAGTAAACAATTTAATCAAGTATTCTAAGTATTTTACCTTTTGAGAAGAAGATATATTCTTGAATGGAGACTTTTTGCCTTGCTAAGTTTAAAATTGGTCCAAAAATCCTGATATATTTGTAAAATATCATCATATACAGGTATTTTGAGATATAATATTGTTGTCAGTTGCATAATAACTTCAGATCACTGTTCAATATTGTCTGCTTTTAATAGCGCTAACATACAAATCGATGAGCTGTTTAGGGATTATATTTGCTACTAAATTTCCCAAAATTAGAACTTCAGTTGTTGTTTTGTTCCAGTTTGATCCATATAATGTACCATTTTACATATCGACTATGCTATCGAGTATAAATATTTACGAATACATAAGTTAACTAGAGGGCACTCAGAGATTGCATACCTCCGCCTACGCGCAAAATATTGAAGTAATCTATTGTTATTAGAATTTGAATGGCTGGTGCATATATTATGCACGTCCTAATTACGCATTCAGTATAAAGTTTTATTTAATTGACCGGGAAAAGCAAGACAAACTTTTGTTATTTCTCATTCAATTTTTAACCAAATTCAACCAAATTTTAATCAGTTCTTCCTTAGCCGATGGGAAATGCACGCACAAAATTTCGTACGGATATGTTTGGTATTTCTTGAGTTATCGTGCTCACAGACAAACACACACACACACACACATACACACACACATACACACACACATACACACACATACACACACACATACACACACACACACACATACAAACCCAGATGATTACATAACCTCCTGGCGGAGGTAATTATTAAGCAGCTGTTAATAGCGTGCGTGTGAAATGAACATTAATCCATACAAGGTTTGTTATTTTATTACTTATTCTACCACCTCAAACTCAAATTATAGCAAATAGTTTAGAATAATTATTTTAATGTGTGTTCACTTTGATGCTCAGTTAAAATAATCAGTAAAATTACTTTCTTTTGATACACTATTGTTTATTTATCTTATTATATTCCACAAGTACTAGTAACCCAAAAATACAGCATTGAGATATGTTACCCCAGTGCGACACTAGAAATTATTATTGTCTCCCCACACGTCGCGTTTAAAATAAATGGAAGCTTGTTGCTCGTTTAACGCCGGATTAACCATGTGTCAAATGCGGCAAATGCCACGGGCCTCGCGCTTATGGGGGCATTGCGCTTTACTGTGCCACGCCCATTTTTACGAGAACACGGCCATTTTCTATTGGGACACACCCATTTTAGGTAGTTGGCCCCAGCACGGCCCCGGGAAGATATGCAATACTCGTGTGCATATAATCTCCAGTTGCGTTGAGCTGCTATATTATGGTCATGTTTATACATGTTGACCCAACAACTGGGCCAGGCAGGCCATTGTCTCGTTTATAATTTATGCTAATAAATTGAAATATTGAAAAAAATTATTTAACAATTTTGTGTGTCTTTAAATTCAAAGGTTTTCATAACAAGGCGGAGAGTGGGGGTGGGGGAGGGGCCTCGCGCTAAAATCTGCCACGAGCCTCGCGCGACGTTAATCCGGCCCTCGTCACTTGTCGGTAGTTCTTGTGGTTTTCATGCCAATTGCCAAAGAACGAAAGAGAGCAGCGATGACTTCCCCCGTCGGAGAATTACTGGCGCAGCCCAGGCCAGCTCAGTGAAATATGGTGGCCCAGGGCCAATTATATCTTTGGGGCCCCGGTGAACCACAATAATTCCCCTCCCACCCCTCCGTCGACAAACTTTTTACCCCCTTGCAAATTTGTATTTGCCGGCCCTCCTTGAGCTGGGGTCGCGGAGAAAATTGCTCCCTTTGCCCCCCCCCCCGTGCAAGGGCGGCCCTGGCGCCACCCCTGTCTTATCATAACTATCTACTTCAAATAATTTTTAAAGCCCTGGTCTTTTTCAAGTAGTTTTTTTTCCCGAAAAAGTAAAAGACTTAGAAATGGTGATTAAATTATTTACTACGGTATGTTATTTAATAACGAGCAAGGGTTATGGTAGGGATTTAAGTTATAAAGTTGGTGTTTGGAATAGGGTTAGTGTAAAGCTTTGTTACGTTTTGTCATTCTGAGGCCAGCGAAATAACCTCTTACGCAACATGTATGCGTACGCGTCTACTATCGTCAAGAAACAATCAATACGTATAATCGTTGTGGTCTGTGGGATTTTAATGAGATTTAATGACCTTGCAGTTTTAACACACATTAGCCGAATTCATATTAGAGACGGAAACTCAGAGCGGGAAACTCGTATTAGACGGGAAACTCGTCTTAAATTCGAATTTATCCGTCCCTAAATTCATATTCAGGCGGGTTTTCACAGACGAGTTTCCGTCTAAGACTATGTGCACACGGTAACGTTTCCGAGCGTTTCTAAAACGTCGTTTCCAATTTTGTCAGTTTGACGCTCTGTCCACACGGAAACGTTTTCACGAGATGCAAATGTTTGTCTCGATAAAAATTCCATCTCTAGCGGCTTGTTATCACCATTCATTTTCCACCAGATAAAGTCATTACTTGTCAACGAGTTTCTTAAAATGTTCTCTGCTCATTATCATAAACTAAACAGTTTTATATGTACTGTTTAGCATCACCGATACGAAGTCTGTCGCTTCTTCGAAAGCAAACCGCATTTTAAATCGTTCATAAATCATTATACATTTGAAAGGCTATACATTTTGTTTTATCTGTTGCTAAAGTTTTTAACTTAAGAATTAATGATCCAATGAAAGATCTAAGCTTCCAGGAAACAAAAATATAACATTTTGATTTTAAGCCGCCATCTTGGATTTTTAGCGTTTCAACGTGGAAACGCTTGTCCGAAAACGTTTTTAGCATTGAAAACGTTTTCGTCATAAGATGACGTTTTCATCCGTTTTCGTGTGGACACGGCTTGAAAACGACACTCTTTGAAAACGTTACAGCTGAAAACGCTCGAAAACGTTACCGTGTGCACATAGTCTAAGACGAGTTTCGCGTCCCTAATATGAATTCGGCTATTCAAATATAAGGGCTGGTAAACTAAAAATAAAATCTCCTTATATTGATAAACATTTATATAAACGTTCATTTCATGTACACGCACGCTAACACCTGCTTAATAATTAACTTACGTCTTCGTAAACATTATAGTCGATACATAACTGGTACATTAACTTAATAATATGGACAAAATGGAACAAAACCTCTGAAAGCAGCAGTTGTAGTTCTAATTATTTTGGTAAATTTAGTAACAAATATAATCCCTAAACAGCTCATCGCTTTGTATGTTAGCGCTATTAACAAGTGATCTGAAGTTATCATGCAACTGACAACATTATATCTCAAAATACCTGTATATGATGACATTTCACAAATATATCGGGATTTCTGGACCAATTTTAAACTTAGCCAGGCAAAAAGTCTCCATTCAAGAATATATCTTCTTATCAAAAGGTAAAATACTTAAAATACTTGATTAAATTGTTTACTTCGACGGTATGTAAATTAACAGCGTTTGACTGCAAGACGTCAAAAACGGACGATTTCAACGCGCTGTCGTTTATCGCGTATTCATTTGCCCAATGAAGTATTTACGTCAATTGAAAGCTTGTTTATTAAAGAGCCAACTAGTAGAAGCATGATCGATTTGGAGCTTTATCCCATAGTGAAAATCGGTTTTGTTAAGAGGGTATCGTACATGAAATAAGATAGTGTGCTCCAAAACTACGATTATTTCTATTCCTAAAAGTAACTCCGATTTCCTGTAAGTGACGTACCCGGTCCTTTGAATAACCGAAAACAAGATTTTTAGGGTTTTAGATCGATTAGAAACCGTTGTCGTCGTGAAATTTGTCGGTAAAATCAGTGCATATTTTCCCAGACAAAATGGCGATTTAGGGTGGTCGTGTTAAAACGGCATTTTCTCAAAGTTAAAAAAGCATTTGACCTAAAAAAATATATGGTACATTTTCCGATATAATAAGGTATATCTGGGTAAAATTTGAGCAAAATCGATTTTTCCGTCGTGGCCGCCTTATGTTTGATTTTTGTGGACATCCTCTCTTAAGTGCTACCAAATTATTTTACTCAGCTTAACTTGCCAGATGATTGTACTGGTCAAGGTGCAAGAGTGCTACTGTTCAATGGGTTAATCGGACTATCTAATGTACTTTACTGTCTCACTCTGTCTAATGCCAGACGATTTTACTCATCAAGGGGAGAGTGCTGGCACTCGACATCAGTCGAATATTGGACTTAAAGGTCTCATATTTAATATGTGTCAATTAATAATTAGTATTATTGCAAAGTAATTACTTTGCATATATGTATAACTTACATATGTTCAGTAGAAAATTTACGTACATAAATTCAACATTTAAATCAAAATGTCAAACTTTATTATTTGAGTCAAACCATGTATTAAAATTCACGTTAGATTTGGCACATGTAAAATGTGGCATTTAGACCGAGACAATGAGCATAAAAACCCAAAATATTATGTGCATGCTCACACCCTCCCCCTCCTTAACCTTAGTACCCCCACATAACAATCTGTGATAACAATCTGCATACTGTAAGCTAGCTAGTGTCATGTACAGTATAATACAGCACACTATATGACTTGAAATATATATTTTCTTGCCAGCCATTTTCAGTCACAAAATGTTGCTGTTAAATAATGATTGGCCTAACATTTTTGGCTAAAGTTTTTTTTAATTTATAAACATTGTATTAACATTTTAGGAAGGATTTCAAGCCTTGTTATGGAAGGGTTGGTATGTCGGGAAGTTTGCCGGTCCAGGTGTTCCAATCTTGGCATTGACGGCTACAGCATCAACTCAGAGAAAGAAAGAAATTGCATCGACAAGATAAAGAATATTGTGTCATTGATAAATATTGATTTATTCTTACAATTCCTCTATGAAAATTTGGTGTGTTAATTAATGGAGCTAGATACTGTAAAAAAATAAATAACAGCTTTATGGTGCATCTATGCTGTACTTTAATATTGCAGTGGTGTAGGAAATAGAGGCTCCAGGAATTCCCTGACAAGGAATATCAGGTTCCCCGACAGGGAATATCAGGTTCCCAGCAGGGGGCTATAATCTTTCAAACAGTAAAATTATTGTTTTGTATGTTCAACTTATGCTCACACATGAAAGAGTTGAATTTTTGGGCCCTGAAATGGTGCAGAATTTATTGTCTGTAACAGTGCATTTACCAGCTCTACAAAACATAATAATTCTTCCCAATATATTGCACTTTGTATTTTTATCTGCGAAGAGCTGGGTGCTGAGCTGTTCCCAGGGCATGTACTCGTATTGAAAAGCTGGATCTTGGGGAAAGTCGATTAGGACATATTATATATATATATATATATATAGATATATATATATATATATATATATATATATATATATATATATATATATATATATATATATATATATATATATATATAAAGTTAGATATTTTTCACGTGTTTGTTTCACTAAGGTATACAGTCGGTTTAACTTTGCCGGTACCCTGTTCGATAAGTATTCCTTCCACTCGCGAGCTCATACTGATCAAAGTGATCAAAGTATGTCCAGGCCTTGTGACCCTGGATGGGCGCTTAAAAGGAAAGAACACACACACACAAATAAAGTGTTTAATCCATAGTATATTCATAGTTACAAGCTTGTTCAAACTTAGGTACAGATTGTTGTTTACCTAATGGCGTAGTGAATTTCTCGAGCTCACAACGCGGACTTATATAGCTACTAATACACTACTGCGCATGTCATCGAACGATGTTATTAGCACAAAGTTCAGGGACCGCATAGCATTGACCTGCTACTGTTTAACATGAATAGCAACATGTGGCACAAAAGAGTGCTCGCGTTCGAGCATATATAATTGGTTTGGTATTTTTACTTGTTTGTTTCAAGGTTTATAATCTACATATCAACAACAGTCACTTACCTAATATAATTTTATCATTAATCCTGTACAGACCTCAATCACGACTGAATCAGTAAGCTTAAAAGTAGCTATATCAATCATAGAAGTTAGTGCCAGAGAGTGCTCAAGAATAAACGAGCATATATAAAGTTAGATATTTTTCACGTGTTTGTTTCACTAAGGTAATATACAGTCGGTTTAACTTTGCCGGTACCCTGTTCGATAAGTATTCCTTCCACTCGCGAGCTCATACTGATCAAAGTGATCAAAGTATGTCCAGGCCTTGTGACCCTGGATGGGCGCTTAATAATAAGCGAAGATAATAATATCCAACGAAGATAATATTTATATATAGTTCTGAATATAGTTCAATGTTCCCGAGAATTCAATATCACTCCACAGGCGGGCATAGCCGTTGTGGTATGACTGTGCGGAGCGGCCAAAGATATGTAGCCTAGATTATAAACCTTGAAACAAACAAGTAAAAATACCAAACCAATTATATATATATATATATATATATATATATATATATATATATATATATATATATATATATATATATATATATATATATATATATATATATATATATATATATATATATATATATATATATATATATATATATGTTGAGTTGTGTAATTGTACACTCCGTAATATGTTAAGGTGAAAATGTTCTAGAGTGTGTATGATATAATTTCCATACCCAGCGTAAGCAAAAAGATAAAGTCTGCCGCGGCTGGGTCTTGAACCCGCGACCTTCGAATTACTAGATCGACGCTCTACCAACTGAGCTACACGGTCAGACGGATTTAAGACTGGAAATTATGAAATATATACTGAATGTCATAAACATACTCGTTTATTCAGTATATATTTCATTAATTCCAGTCTTAAATCCGTTTGACCGTGTAGCTCAGTTGGTAGAGCGTCGATCTAGTAATTCGAAGGTCGCGGGTTCAAGACCCAGCCGCGGCAGACTTTATCTTTCTGCTTACGCTGGGTATGGAAATTATATCATACACACTCAATAATATATAGGTTATCGATAACCTATATAATAAATAGGTTATCGTACTCTGGATTCGGTGATAATCAGTTTTATCGCTCTCGGGACGATATCACAATTGTCCCTCGCTCGCTGCGCTCGCTCGTGACAATTGTGATATCATCCCTCGAGCGATAAAACTGATAACACCTCATCCCTTATATGATAACCTATATATATATATATATATATATATATATATATATATATATATATATATATATATATATATATATATATATATATATATATATATATATATATATATATATATATATATATATATATATATATATATATATATAACACGTTCTACTATAGGGTCCAATATTCTATTTACCCAAAAATGGTGCCAATTTTCGTATTTTTAAACAAATTTGTCCAAAACTGAAAAAAACAGAAAAATTGGTGCTTAAAAACACCTTTTGTGCAAAAAAAAGAATGCAAATTTTCTTCTCTTGCTAAAACAACCAAATTTACCTAAAATTAACAACACATTTTATAGACTGTTCTGAAAAGGATCAAATAATGCAAAAGTAGCATGACAGCTAACAGTGGAAATATGTTGGTTTAACCAAAGGCATCTCTGATCAATTTATATTTGGAAACTATATCAATGTTTCGATTTATCGACACCATGTGAATGTTTCAGTTTATCGAGACCATGTGAAATGTGAATGTTTCGAGTTATCGAGACCAAGTCAATGTTTCGATTTATCGAGACCATGTGAATGTTTCGATTTATCGAGACCATGTGAATATTTCGATTTATCGAGACCAAGTCAATGTTTCGATTTATCGAGACCATGTCAATGTTTCGATTTATCGAGACCATGTCAATGTTTCGATTTATCGAAACCATCTTAGTGACATCTAACATAACCTAAATCAACACATTTTAGCAAAAAATAATATTCTTATCTATTCAATTTAGCATTATA